TAGCAACACATAAAGGAACATTTTGTGTTTATAAACCGTTCTAATTATTTGAGCATGTAATCTTTTATACGATGTTAAATAAAAGATGATACACTTGTCAAAAAAAATCAAAAAATATAAATTGGCAAAAACTGAGTAAATATCAGGTTATATCTATCTAGGAAAAAGAAATCATGCTTTACTTCTTCAACTTATACTTCTTCCGTCACAAATAGCTTATATCGAGTTTTGAAATTTATACAAAAAATAATATGCATCCTAAAATGTCATTTGATTCGTTTTTTTTTTTTTTTTGGGACCAAGGAGATATGATTTAATTATATTGAGTTTAATTTTCATATTTTCACTTACCTTTACATACACATGTTTTGTTTTAATTTGTGTTGAAACTTGGTAATGCTAATGTACTCCCATTGCATTTTTTTTCTAGCTCCGACACTTGATGCTCACTGTTTTTAACATGAAATAATTATTTTAATTTCAAACCATTACCTTCTCAATGAGATTACACTTTTGCAAAAACAAAAAACAAACAAACAAACAAAAAAACAAAAACAAAAACAAAAACAAGGACAAGCAAGTAGTATTTCAATTTTGTTTTGTTTTTTTTTTTTCTGCTCGACAGGCGATCAAAAACAAAGATAGAAACATAAAAATGAAGACAGAATGAGATTTACCGGTTTGTACTTTTTTTCTGTTCAACGGGCTGTTAAAAAGTACCAAAATAGGAGCCTAAATCCCCTTAAACGCGCTATCGCAAATCAGATATTTATTCTTCACAATCAAATCTGAGTTTCTTTCTACTTTTTATTTTATTTTTTTTGTAAACGGTAGATAAATAGATGAAAAAACGCGACTTGTGTTCATACAAGTAACATGAGGCTCTGTTTGGTTGGATTGAATCGGACCCAAGAATTTGATTTGGAGGACTTCAATTTCAATTCTTGTGTTTGGCTGACAAGAATAGGGGCTCCAGAATTAGAATTATAATTTAAGATGAAACTCAATTCTTTATTATCAATTCTTTTGTGGTAGTAAATAATTGCAATTCAAACTAGGAACTTTAAGAAAACGCGGGTCACATGCGAGTTTTTTTCCGAGTTATAAGAAGCGGGTCTCAATTCTTTTTAAGCTTTTTTTTTTTCTCTTTCAGTGCTGCACATGCGTTGCTTTTCCTTTTTCTTTTTCGTTTTTTCCCCCTTTTCTTTGAGCGCTGGACCATGTTTTTTTTATTTTCTATTTTTATTTATTGTGCAAACGAGGTGACATCATATTAATTATTATAATGAGATTTATACATTAAAATTAGTATTGTACTCTTATTTTTTTCATAAAAACTATCAAATGTATAACCATACCCCTAATTTATTAAAAACTTAAAGGTATTTTTTTTATAAAAAAAATTATATAAAATAAAGAGAAGTAAAAAATAGGACAGCTAATATACTAAACCCAACATCAAGTATAATTCTAGGCTTTAAGAAAATTTAAAACTTAAAGGTATTAATTATGGGTTAATTTTTTATCAAATGTATAAATAATTTTTGAACTATACTTGAAATTTTTTTCTCAAAAAATTATGTTTTTTTTTCAGATTATAATGATGATAAATTTTTAATTAATATGACAAATCGGGGCCGTGCTTAATCTTACCCATTAAAATAAGATCACAGATCACAGATCAAGACTGGCCCTTCGTAGCATTAATTGGATCTCGAACTATGAGTGATAAATAGAAAAAATTGATAAAATTTCCTCTGAAATTGTCCTCTGAAACCTTAGATTGGTTAATCGATCTACCAGTTTAAAACCGATTCAGCAGCAAACCAAGACCGGTCAACAGACTGGACCAGTAAACTGGCTTGGGAGAATTGGACCGAAAGAACCAGATCTGGCCAGAAGGACCAGATATGGTGTTCTTCGGGATGAACACTGGATGAACTGAAGGGCCGCCGATTCCTTCTCAGACAACAGCAGCAGTAAAGGCCCTTGAGGACCAGTTTATTTCAGGCAGCAGCAGCAGCGGTAGGGCATAAAGCGGCGACAGTGTTTGGATTCCGCAGCATCAAGCGGCGGCAGAGCAGCGGTCGTCGGATTTTCCCGGTGATGGAGTGGGTCTTCAGATCTGGTAGCGGTCGTCAGATCCAGAATTGGGTCTTCGACAGCAAAGGAGGAGGAGTGTTTTGGCTTCGATGCGGGAGCTTCTGTGCTGATTCTGTTTCGCACTTGTGACAGTCATCGGACGAAGGCACGGAGGCCCTGAACAGACGTCGGTCGGCGAAAACTCAGATCTGGCACGGGCCGATCTGGAACCATCAACATGGTTAGGTTGAACAGCAATGAGATCAATCCTGCTCGGCGCTTCAAATCCTCCCCTTGTGTGTGTTAATCAGAAAAAGAAAATGAAAATTTTGGCTCCCCCAACAACCGCTAAAGGTTTCCGGTGACTTTTTAGAGAGGAGAGAGCTTTAGTTTTAGAGAGAGAGTTTTTATATTATTGCCCCTCACTAAAAATTATGTAAGCTTTGAAGAAATCGAAATATATATTATTACATATATAATTATGTACTAAAAATAAAAATAATTAATTAACACCATGTATTAATATTAATCTATATATAAATAAATGGTCTTTACTTTTAACTATATGAAAATTTTCCACTAAAACCCGAAAAGAAAAAAAAAACAAAAGATTATAATTTACTACCTCCATTTTTTTTTATCTATCACTTTTGGGTTAACCCAAATTTTTTTTTATCTGTCACACTTCATTTCCAATGTAGCTTTAAGTACAGTTTTTTCAATTTCACCCTTATATCTCTCTACTTTTGATAACATATATTAATGATAGCTATCTATTCTTTTACTTTCATTTCAAATTTTTTGTATATTTCCAATACTTTTTATTAGGGCCAAGAAATGTATTATATTTAAAATTAAATTATCAATCATTACTTTCTCAATACCTGTGCAAACTCTAAAGCGATAGATAAAAAAAAATAGAGGTAGTATAAAATAATAAAAAGGAGAGGTCTACATGTTACTTGTGAGAATTCCAATCATCACATTAATATTCCTTACGTAATAATAAAAGAAAGTTTTCCACAAGTATATATGTATCTAGTAAATTATAAAATTGATATATATTACTCAGACAACAAAAGTTCTAATATAAATGTACATAATAAATTTATTTTTTTATCTTATATATGTAAGTAATAAATTTCTTTGATATAAAAATTAAGTATTTCTTTTATTCAATGAAATAAAGTACTAAATTATAGTTAGATAATAAAAAACTAATTCTAATTCTAGATTTTATAAATTTATAAGGATCCAAACACAAGAATTGGTATTAGAACCTTATTTCTAGTCATAAATTCTTAAGGTCTTCCAAATAAATAAATTAGGATTGAATTGCAATCTTAATATTTCATTTTCAATTCAATACTATTGTAATTCTAATTCAATTCCAATTCAATCTAACCAAACGGAGCCTGTGTTTATTTGATTAGTGGTGATAGTGTTTAATGGGTTTAGACCAAGAGAAGAGTTTCGTTTTCTTTTTAATATGGTGATGCAAACAAAATGAGATTCAAAAATTAATCTCTAAATGTTTGTCGTGCAATGCCCCCGTGTCCAACACCTGAGAATGTCTTTCGACAAGTAACTAGATAACACTTTTTGAATAATTTTTCTTTGGGCAGGTAAATAATGCTTGGTCCTTCATTTTTTTTTCAATGAGTTGTCAAAAATGAAGATGAAAAGATAAAATTGAAGATAGAATGAGTTCTGTCGTTTCTTATTCGTTTTTTTTTTTTTTTTGTTTAATGGGTTGTCAGAAAAACTAAAAGTACACCCAAAACCATTGCTGGTTTTTAACCTACCTAAGACTTGGAATCTTTTATGAAGTACAATATAAAGTGATATATTGTTAAAGATGAAAATGAAGATGGAATGAGTCCTCTAAAAGATAATCCTTTCAGAAATAGGTAACACTTTTGAAGAATTTTTTTAGACAAGTACGTAATGCTTGATTTTTTTTTTCTTTTTTCATTTTCTGGTTCAATAGACTGTCAACAGAATAAAGATAGAAAGATAAAAATAAAGACGGAATGAGATTCGACAGTTCTTCTTCTTAAGCGAATGCAATTCCCAATCTTCCTAAACGAAAGCAATTCCCAATCATCACATATTTTGCGATTACAATCGATAAGAGACAGGGCCAATCGCAGTCGTTATAATTTCACAATAAAAATGTGATTCTATTTTTTTTATATTTAATTGTTACATGTAAAATAAATATTATTTTTTATATGTTTCTCATATAATAATATCTTAATACCGGTTACGTACTAATATTATAGAAAGGAAATTGCTTGGAGTCCTTTGTTACATGAGTGATACAGTTAAAGCCATTATTGAAATAAAGAATAAAAAAAACAAAGATAAAAACAAAAGAAAAACAAAGATAAAGACCTGACCATACATGGAGCGTATAATTGAGTAAATTAGTCGTCAAGATTGTAACCCACCAAGCCCATAGACGCGCCAACGCACACCTTTTGTCGTGGAAGAAGAAAAAAAATCGCTCGGGACGAATTTGGGACCATAGTTCTTCGTTGTAGACAATGGTTACTTTGCTTGAACAAATTTAAATATGTGTATAGCTTGTGACAATCGAGGATTATAAATAAATTACAAGTCTACAACAATCAAACATATATAAAATATGCATGTAACAACTGTAAATGACCCAAACAAATGAGAGATTCTTCGAGAAATGATTCAGAAAGGACGGCAAGTTGCATACTTAATTCAATCATCCTCATAATCCAAGCAAAAATGTATATGAAAAAATTAAGTCAACGAAACCAGGTAAATTGTGTTTCCAAATCGAATAAAAATAAGCACACTATTCATCTTTCCCTTCCCACAAGTCAGAGCCAAACTATATACACTCAGAAAGCACTGTGTGTATTTGAAATTCTAGAGCTAAAATGGGTTCCACAACCACAAAACTCCTTCCATTTTTGTTTCTTGTGGTATTGCTCATTTTTTCTACTGTTATCAGTGCATGTGATGACAATTGCCAAAAGTCTAAATCAAAGCATAAAGACAAACATAAACACAAATCTCCACCGCCACCGCCACCGCCTCGGAAGCCCAAATCTCCTTCACCGCCTTCTAAACCTAAATGTCACTCGCCACCTCCTCCGCCACCTCCTAAACCTAAATGTCACTTGCCATCTCCCCCGCCACCTCCTCAACCCGAAAACCCTCCTCCGCCACCTTCTCCGCCACCTCCGCAACCTGAAAACCCTCCCCCGTCACCTTCTCCGCCACCTCCTCAACCCAAAAATACTCCCCCGCCACCTTCTCCACCACCTCCTCAACCCGAAAATCCTCCCCCGCCACCTTCTCCTCCACCTCCTCAACCCGAAAATCCTCCACCGCCTCCTCCATTAATATCGCCGCCACCTGCTGAGCCGGAAAGCCCTCCCCCGCCCCAACCGTCTCCGCCACCTCCTCCGGCTCCCACGCGATTCTGCCCGAGAGCTGACCTGGACTTTACACCATGCGCTCCTTTGTTAGGTATTGGGTTAAACAACGGTTCTACCGATGTTCATTCGGAATGCTGCCCTCTTTTTCAGGGCCTCACTTTTAACCCTGATATCATCAACTGCATCTGCCATGCCCTTAATACCTTGGGTTACCGCCCTGATAACAACACAGTTCTCATGACGGTAACTCCACTTATGACTGAGTGCAACCTCGGCACCGGAACTTTCGTTGTCAATGTCCAAAACTGTTACCAAGTTGCCTAGTTTGCTCTTTTTGTTCATCGCGTCTCCAAATCTTCTTCAAGATCTCTTTTTTCTTCTCCAATTTGTATTATTCATTCCACACGTATGTTTTGTGTTAAAATTCATCTGTAATATTTCGTGTTACTCGACGTTTGTATCAACTACCCTACAAATATATGGAAGTGATTTTCGTTTTGCTGTCTTATCAATTTAGCTTATTTCTGTTTTTCTTCTTTTTTTTTTTGTTTCCGCGCTGCTTCTTCTTTGCGCGTCATATCATTATTATGAACCTGATGAATATTTTTCCGTTAAGGAAAAACTGATGCACATCATACACTTTAACCATCATTCGTTAATATGATTATTGAGACAGTTCATTGCTGTTAATTTGTCTCAAGATCATTAAATTATGCGTTCATGTACAGCTGGCATAATTATTGCAGAAAGGAAAATCAGTAGAAGCTCTCAGTTATCTATCAATTAGAACTTAGAAAGATGGCAAGTTGCTATCATCCTCTCCTCAGACTTCAATGTCTATATAAATATTGAGAATTTGGTCAACGAAACATGCTTGGTGAACATGAATAGTGCATCCGTTGGGTTGCTTTTTGTACCCAAATCACTGATTGGTGCCGTCCCTTGACGATGATCTATGAAAACCTTCGTTTAATTAATTCATTACACAAGTCTTATATAGTTCTAACTAAATAATTTACATTATAATTTATAGATTGTATTATTTTTAATATATATGCATAATACATCCACAAGTTTAAGAGTGTTCCACGTATATAATGTGGGTTTCAAGCCACCAGCTTATGATTAAAGATGACAATTTGTTTATCACGTGAAAAATCTATTATGAGGTCTATATGCAACTTCAATGTTGTAATTGAAAGAATCAAACAGGCTTAATTGATTTGATTAGCCTGGTGTACTTTGAATTATATAGAGTTAAAGTTTTACATGATAAGTACAATGAGGATAGAACTCTTAAAGAGATAAATGCACAAGAATTTCATAAAACACATATCTCTAAAAACTAACTTTACAATTACAAATATTGTATCTAACATTCCCCCTCAATCAGAACGTGGAGAATCCTGCACGTGAAGATTGTTCCGTAAAGTTTTGAATCGATGAGAAGTCAAGCCTTTTGTAAGCACATCAGCTATCTGTTGTTGAGTAGGAATGAACCGAACATGAAGAAAACCGGAAGCCACCCTTTCTCGGACAAAATGTAGGTCAATTTCTAGATGTTTGGTCCGAGAATGATACAAAGGATTGACAGTAAGATATATAGCACTAATGTTATCACAGAGAAGTAAAGGCGGGTCTTTCAACACAACATGAAGATCCTTAAGTAAATTCTGAATCCATAGCAATTCATCAACTGTATGAGCAAGGGCCCGATATTCAGCTTCGGTGCTCGATCGAGACACTGTTTGTTGTTTCTTGGAACTCCAAGAGATCAAATTATTGCCATAAAATATAGCATAGCCAGTTGTGGATCTTCTAGTGTCAGGGCAACCGGCCCAGTCAGCATCAGAGTAAGCAGTGAGAGTACCAGACGAGGATGATGATAACATCAAACCATGATTTATGGTGCCAGCAATGTACTGTAAAATTCTCTTTACCAAAGAAAGATGAGAAGATCTTGGAGCATGCATAAATTGACAGACCGTATTGACATCAAAGGAGATGTCAGGCCTGGTAATAGTGAGATATTGAAGTGCTCCAACTAGGCTACGGTATTCAGTAGGATCAGCTAAAATGTCACCATCAGTAGATAAAGGTTTGGCACCACTAAAGGGAGTGCTCACAGGTTTGCAATGGAGTAAAGAAGCACGAGATAAGAGATCACGAGCGTATTTTGATTGAGTAAGAGAAAGACCCGATGATGTGTGAATAACTTGAATGCCAAGAAAGTAATTTAATTGACCAAGATCATTCATGGAGAATGTATTGCGGAGATGAGAAATAAATGTGTCTAGAAGAGAGGAATCGGACCCTGTGAGAATAATATCATCTACATATAAAAGAAGAATAAGATAGGAATGAGTATGATGATAGATGAACATGGATGTATCTGCCCGACTATTATGAAAGCCATAATTCAACAAGAATGAACTAAACCGAGAAAACCAAGCTCGTGGAGCTTGTTTGAGACCATAAATGGCTTTGTTGAGTTTACATACATGTTGTGGAAAATTAGGGTGAACAAAACCTTGTGGTTGAGACATATATACCTCCTCATTCAGAATACCATGTAGAAAAGTATTTTTAACGTCAAGCTGACGTAGGGACCAACCCCGAGAAATAGCAATAGAGAGGACCAAGCGAATGGTGGGTGGCCTAACGACAGGACTGAAAGTTTCATCAAAGTCCATACCACGTTGTTGGATATAACCCTTTGCGACAAGTCTCGGTTTGCATCGCTCAAGAGAGCCAGCAGAGTTTTGTTTGACACGATACACCTACTTACTGCCAATGACATGCATGTGAGGGCGATATGGAACAAGAGTCCAAGTTTGGTTAGAAATGAGAGCATTGAATTCATCGGCCATGGCAGCACGCCAATGAGGTTCTTTAGATGCGACTGAATATGAGGTGGGTTCAGATGGTAAAGGTTGAGAAGGAAGAGCAGCTAGTGCATATTTAGGATTAGGTTTGTGAATTCCAGCCTTAAGGCGAGTCAGCATAGGACGAGAGGATGAAAGTTCAGAATGGGTAGATGGAGTGACAGTAGGAGTAGGTGTATGTGTGGATGAACACGGACTTATTTGTAAGGAAGGAACAGGAAAAAGTGGACGACGACGCAAAGAAGACTGAGTTGAAGGATCAGGAGCTGAAAGGGATCATGTGAAGGGAAAGACATTTTCAACAAAACGAACACTGCGATTGATATAGACTCGCTGAGTCGAAAGGTGAAGACAATGGTAACCCTTTTGTTGAGAACTATAACCAAGAAAGGCACAAGGAGCTTACGGGGAATTTAATTTATGAGTTCTATAGGCTTGAAGATTAGGATAACATAAGCAACTGAAAGGTCGAAAAATAGTGTAATCAGGAGGTCGAACAAGACTTCAAAAGGTGATTGATGGTGAAGAACAGGAGTGGGGAGCCTATTGCTTAAAAATACAGCAGTGGAAAAAGCTTCTACCCAAAGAGAATGAGACGCATTAGCATGATAAAGCATAGTACGGGCAACATCTGAAAGATGACGATGTTTTCGTTCAGAAAGACCATTTTGCTGCGGAGTATGAGGGCAAGTAAATTGATGATGAATACCATTTTCATTAAGAAATTGAATGAAGCGAGAATTGAGATATTCGCCACCACCGTCAGTGCGAAAAATTTTGAGACAAGAGGAGAATTGTGTTTCGACATGTGCTTTGAAGGTTTTAAAACATTCAAAAACTTCATGTTTAAAACGTAAAGGATAAAACCAAGTAAAGCAGGAGTAATCGTCTACAAAGATGACATAATAACGATAGCCACTGACAGAGGAAATGGGAGATGTCCATACATCCGAATGAATTAAATCAAATACATTAGATGAAATGGAGGTGCTATGTGAAAAAGGTAAATTAGAATGCTTAGACACTAGACAAGAATTGCAAGGAAGGTTGAGATCATCCTTTTTATTGAAAGAAATAAAATTACGACGATGAAGCACATCACGTCCTGGATGTCCAAGGCGAGCATGCCAAAGAGATGCGGATGAAGTGGTAGAGAGGAGAGCCGGATGCAAAGAAGAACCAAGAGCTGAAGATCGGGAAGCAAAAGACGGGAGGATAAGGGGATATATAGGGCTATCACTGGGGCATTTGAGAAGCACTCTCCCTGTCACCAAATCCTTAACAACAAAACCCCAATGATGAAATTCAATAAAGCAATGATTATCACGAGTAAATTTCTTAACGGAGAGTAAGTTAGCAGACAAATAAGGAGAGTGAAGAACGGAATTTAACTGAAAAGATTTATAAGGCGTAGAAAAAGATGAATTACCAGATTGATAGACTGGGATAGTAGAACCATTGCCTGAAGTAATGAAGCATGAGATGGAGTAACAGAAGATTGAAGCTGACCTTGATCATGAGTCATATGGGAGCCAGCACCACTATCCATGTACCAAGTTTTATCACCAGAATCATTGAGAGAAAGGCCCGCAAAGGAGCTGCTAATATCAGAGGCAGCATAGGCATGATTTAGACGATCTGGACAAATCAAAGCAACATGTCCAGAGTTGTTGCAAATCTGGCACTTGACATTGGGAAGAGCAGGGTTTGGAGATGCAAAAGAGGGTTGATTTGATTGTTGAGAAACAAATGGCGGGTAAGGAGCAGAACCCAAAATACCCCGAGAAGCTGGAGAACTAGGCAACATAAAGGAACCATTGCCACGTCCAGAAGGGTGCCAGCCTGCACGATCACGACCACGACCACCACGTCCATGATTTTGCCAACGGCCACTAAAACCACGACCACGAGCAGATCGACCACCACGAGAAGAAGGTAAGTAGTCCTTGGTGGCAACAAATGCCGTGGAGGATGAAGAAGAAACAGGAACACCATGAAGTTTTTCAATACGGGACTCCTGAGTAAGTAGCATAGTCCAGAGTTCCTTAAAGGTGGGTGGAGGTTTCTGATTAGAAGCCATAGTGATGAAAGCTTCGTAAGAAGGTGGAAGACCTTGAAGAACAGAGAGGACCAATTCAGGATGAGAGATGGAACGACCATTAGCCGTAAGAGAATCAGAGGTTTCTTGAATTTTGGTCATGAATTTATCAATTGATAGATCACCCTTTTTGAGGGTTTGAAGTTGTAGTTTAAACTGCAATTCACGTGCAGTGGTTTGTTGGAGAAAGTGAGATTTTAAGGTGTTCCAAGCCTCAGCAACAGAAGAGGCATCATACAAAAGAGGCAAGAGATCAGTGGCTATAGTAGCATTGATCCTAGTGAAATCAAGCGATCAAGACGGTGCCAATGATTATAAGCAGGGTTGGGAACAAGTTTATCGGAAGAATCTGGGATGGTAGTGGAGGGAATAGGAATAGAAGTATCAAGATGAGGATGGAGATCATAAATTTCCAAGACAGGAAGAAAGAGATGGCTCCACTTTATATAATTAGTTTGATCTAAAGTGACAGGAACAAGATCTTTAATATGAACACCAAAGGGATTGTGGGGAGGGGAAATAGATGTGGAAGCGGCCATTTCTGCTGATACCATGAAAGAATCAAACAGGCTTAATTGATTTGATTAGCCTGGTGTACTTTGAATTATATAGAGTTGAAGTTTTACATGATAGGTACAATGAGGATAGAACTCTTAAAGAGATAAATGCACAAGAATTTCAAAAAACACTTATCTCTAAAAACTAACTTTACAATTACAAATACTGTATCTAACAGTAATGAGAAAGCCAAAGGAGTTTCTTTTCTTTTTCTTTTTTAACACAACGAAAGAGAGAAAAGTTTAAAAATAGTTAGAAAACTCTTTAGGAGGGTATTCAACATCAATGGTGTAAACAAAGCGAAAGGAGGGTACCTAGCCCGATCATTTAGGTGAAGCTTATATCTGGGCCGCGACCAAAACACACACTTGCAACATTTGTGATCGGTTTACATTTTTCTTTCCCCCTATTGAAGACGTTATCATGTTCTACAAAAAGCCTGAGAATTGCAAAGTCAAACTATGAGTAGTGTTAAAATTCTCTTTAAACTTGAAAACGAGTAAAGGATACTTATGTTAAATTGGAAATGATAACCTAATTTATTAATATATAAGTCTCATGTGTTATTTCTTCATTTGGCTTATATAGGCCTTCAAGATAGTACCAAAGCGGGTTTTATCCGTATACTTTGTGGCTGGACTTTGACCGATCCAACAGATTTTTCAGTTTGACTGATCAGTGTTGAGCATTTGATTTACCTGTATTGGACTTTCACTTATATCCATATTGGGTTTTGACTGACCCATAAGTATATATAAGGAGTTTGGTTTACTTGTGTTGAGCTTCTATGTATACCCATATTAGGCTTTGATTGACCCAACAATTTATCCGGGGTTCGATTGTTCAAAACGACTTTGTTCTACTGTTAAAATTTCCGTTGAACTTAAAAACAAGTGAAAGACACTTTTTTTTTTTTTGATAAAGAAGGTTGATTTTATTACCATGTATGAAGAATTTCGTGCACAAACTTAGATATGTCTAGCCATCCCACTACATCAAAAGCTAAATCCCAAGAATTATCATAAAAAATCAAATTCCAAAAGTTAAAAGCTTTTGCGTTTCCTACGAGCTACTTCTGGATCAAATGCATTCTATCACATTAATTTAACACTTTGGAAGTATTAGGAACAATTTGAATGGAAACATATCTAATTTTAAGATGAAAAACAATCTGTTGAATCACTTTTGATGGCGTCGCTGATTGGTTCTTAAAAATGAGGTTATTTCTAGCTTTCCATATAAAATATATCAATGCACACCACGAAAGTTTCTTGGCTAGTCCCAAGATATCATTCCTCTATTTATAACAATGCTGATTGACAAGTATGTCCCAAGAGTTGGGGAATCTCCATCCATTGAAACCACATACTCCTTGCCATATTTCCGAAGAGAAACTGTTTCATCATGTTGACTACAAAAAACGCAAAGGGTATCCACTGACGGATTCCATTTCACTACTTTGGTTTTAATCGCCAGCCTATCAAACCAACACAGCCAGGAGATAAAAGAATATTTAGGAGGTGTAAGCCTCGACCAAATCAACTGGCACCACCATTGAGACGGAGGTGGAGGTTTTAACACATTATAAGAAGAATGTGAGGAGTATGGTTGTCCAGGAGCACACCAATTTCTTGAGGAAGCGTTGTAGAAATACAATTGGAAGCCAACTCTCTCAGTCTCAGAATCTTCTTAATACACCAGGAGAAAGAGCTTTTAATATCAACATCCCAAATCGATGAACCCTTAATATATATCTCATGTACCTATTTGACCCACATAGAGTCTGCCTTGGTTTCCACAGCCCAAAACAGCTTAAGCATAAGAGATTTATTCATTGTATCAAAATGCTTAATGCCTAGACCACCAGAAGACTTAGGTTGACACACATCCTTCCATGCAACAGGGGCTTTGTTAGAAGAGTCTGTAGAACCCGTCCATAGAAACCTTCTAGCAAGAGATTCTACCTCTTTCAATACTTTCTTGGGCAAGATAAAGATTGATAACCAATAGGTTTCAATGCTTTGAATTACAGAATGAATAAGTTCCACCCTACCTGCATATGATAAAAACCTGGAAGTCCAAGATTTCATTCTAGATGTGATTTGTTCGATCAAATGAAGACAATCTGTAACGGATAGTCTTTTGGAAGTCAATGGAGCGCCCAAGTACTTAAAAGGTAATAAACCTTCTTCAATTCCAAGAATATCAAGTAGTAGCCTCCTGGTATGGGATGGGTGGAATACCACCAAAGTAAGCACTGCTATTTGACAAGTTAACACTTAATTCAGAACAAGAGAAAAAATTGTCTAAACAAATTTTTAGATTCTGAATTGCCTCGAGATTACCTTTACAAAAGATAAATAGATTATCCGCATATAGTAAATGTGTGAGGCCTGTGTGCTTACACTTTGGGTGAAAATAGAATTCACCATTTACCACCATTCTCTTGAGAAGTGAAACACGCTTATTTCATATGAAAAATGGTAATTCAATTTGACTAACATATAAATCTCTTGTATTATTCTTCTCATTCCCAATTGATTTTGAGATAAAATTGCGTATATATTGGCCTTTGAGAAGTAGCATCCAAATTGAGAATCTGACAACCTAAAGCCGTGTAAAATGGTGCAAACAAAATTCCTGTCAGATTAATTATTCCTTAATTTCTTCGCAAATTCCAATGGCATTGCGAAATCAGAAATTAGCTTGCATGGGCCTTCAAGAGGTACCATCCAAACCGGGTTGAGAATCTGACAACCTAAAGCGTGTAGAATGGTGCAAATGAAATTCCTGTCAGATTAATTACCTTAATTTCTTCGCAAATTCCAATGACATTGCAAAGTCAGAAATTACGAGTCATTCGAAAGCTTAATTGTTTCCTGTTTCTTGATTTGTTTATTACCAAGTAGCAGTATTGAGCCTAAATTTTCTCCTTTTTTTTTCCTTTTTTTTTAACCCAAAGCCTCATAATAATTATTTTTTTTTTGAAAAAAAATAATAATTGTTGAAGGAGCCAGGTATCAGTCACCTCCAAAATAAAACCTCATTTCCTGTGTATCAAAGTTCTCCAAAACAGTGCCAATCGATCGAATTAACGATAGTTATGATACTAACCTAATTGCAAACTAAATTTTGAGTATTTAGCGCAAATAATTGTCCTAAAATTAGTACAACCTACGTGAACTTCAGATTTCGCAGCCGGTGTTGTCACACCGATTTTGATTCACATATAGAATTCACTGTACTCCCGGGCTTGTCACCCGAGAGTGTAAACAAAAACGTATAGTTATTTTAGAATGGAAGTGGTTAAAATAGTAGTCATTAGTTGTCCATGGGAATTGATTTGGACACTTTTTCAAAATTAAATTTTAAGCAGAGAGTTATGAGTGCATGGTCGGTCATCTAGATGTTAACCTACCTCTTAGATGTTGCCATTTGTTAAGGCACGTGTATGTATATATGATGAATAGAATTTGAACATTTACTGTGTTGGACTTGGAGGGAACAAAGTATAATTAATATTATCCCGTACGTCAATAGCGTAGTAACAAGCGACCAAAAAGAATCATGATCTAGTTGACTTTAGTTGTGGATCTGACTTCGATCTGAAGTTTCGGATCGGTCGATGCTTTCTTTCACCATGCGTCTCACAATGTCGTGATTTTCCTCTTTGTTCCTCGATCAAGTTAATAATCGTAGGCAGAACAGGTAAATTTCATTGCTTAATTTTCTACACGCCAAGGCAAATTAACCACTATTTGGCCAAGTATTTAGTGAGAATATATACTCTTCTCAAGTACTCCATCCAAAAAATAATCCGTTTAATTTTGAAATTTTTACAAAAGACCATATGAATTTTAAAATTCAATTTGAGCTATCTTTCTGCAATAGAAAGAGAAATAAATATATTGAGAAAGTAAAATTATAATAAATATAGTGAAAATAAATATGTAATCGAATAGTGATTGATGTGACTCATATGATTAGGAGTTTTTTTTAAAAAAAAAAAATCTTTTCATGAATCACTATGTTTTTCCATTGTAAAATGTCATTGTCTCTACAATGTTCAGAAAGAAAATATGAGCAAGTACTAAGAATTTTACAATCTAAACCCCTACTATCCTCCGATATTGATATATAGACGAGTACTCATATATCTTTGAAAAATTAATATACATGCTCACCATACTGTAGTAGCCTATCTGATAGAACAATATTGTAACATGTTTCAATTAAAGGAAGAAAAAAACAATAATGAAGAAGAATATGAAGATAAATAAAGGTTATAATTACAATGGAAAAATGTTTTGAAGTTGAGATAACATAGAAACTATTTTAATGTTAAACGAATTGAATAATGGTAAACCTAGATCCGATAACTTATATATGTAGTTTTGTTATTAATAGCTGAGGTTAAATGGTCTTTGAAGAAGATGACAAAGAATCTATCCAAAATGTCTTTCAAAGTTCCCGACATGCATGCATGTATTCCTTCCCGAGTAGCAACTGAAATCCCTAGTTGAAAATTAGCGCGCCACTAAATCATCACGTTTCTATCAATTGATACCGTACCATCAATAGATTAAATTAATTTCAAAGCACTTGTCATACTCTTCTTCGATCACTATAAAACCCCTAAACTTTCTGTACATCTTCCCATCCTAAAACAAAGCAAATATACAGTCTAATTCTTCGAATTTGAAGCCAACATGGGTTCCAAAAACACCCAAGTCCTAGCCATACTTCTCATCTCTCTTGTCTGTTTAACTTATCAAGTAAGTGCAGAACAGCCAAAGCCAAAGCCAAAACCAAAACCCATGCATAAGCCTCATCCCCACTATCCCTCACCGCCACCTCCTAAACATGAATCTCATCCGCCGCCTCATAATCCACATCTCCACCGCCTCCTAAACCTAAATCTCCTCCACCACCATCGAAGTCCACATATCCACCACCATCTCCTAAACCTAAGTCTCCTCCACCACCTCATAAGGCAACTCCTCCACCGCCTCATAAAGCTAGCCCTCCACCTCCTAAACCTAAATCTCCTCCACCACCTCATAAGACAGCTCCACCACCACCTCATAAAGCCAGCCCTCCACCTCCTAAACCTAAATCTCCTCCGCCACCTCATAATGCAACTTCGCCATCACCTCATAAAGCCACCCCTCCACCTCCGAAACCTAAATCTCCTCCGCCACCTCATAAGGCAACTCCCACACCACCTCCGAGCCCTGCGCTAAATTGTACAAAGAATGTACACGAATTCAGTGTGTGCTCGGGACTCTTTAAGAAAGGGAAGGGGATCGGAAGTGATAGAAAATGCTGTTCTCTTTTGAATGGACCTGAAGCTGCCAGTTGTTTTTGCAAGGCCATCAAATTGAAAGTGTTCAACACTCCAAACTTAACATCTCCAGTTGCCATTTATAAGGTCTACAAGTACTGTAACAAGAGCCCCCCGAATGGTTTCAAATGTCCCTCAAAACCATGAATTATTCCTTCTTTCTTTCAGAAAAGAAGGCTGAATTCGTTTTTGAGTCCCCATCAGACGCATAAGTGTGTGTTTTCCCGAGATTAGTTTCTGTTTTGTTTTTCCCTAATTTTGTGTGTCATTCCCTGGAGAACAGAATCCATCCAGCTTCATGGTCAAGTGACCAAAAAAAGCTATGGAGACGCGAATGTGATCAAAATAAGAGCATTTTCTTTTGGGGAAATTGTGATGTTATTTCCTAAGCCATGCATGCATGGCTAAGGAAAGCCCACGATGTTGGAAGCTTTTGATTTGTACTGTGTCACGTTATTGTTGTATTGGGATTTTGTTAATCCTGTCATTGTACTCGAGTTTTTTGTATCAGTTAAGTGATTTTAATTTTGATTACTTAGAAGCGTTAATTTTTCATCCTTCATAGTATCCTGTTGACGAAGTTGCAGTTTATGGTATTTGGGATGAACAAAGACGACACACACATATATATATATATATATATATATTGGGTAAAGATAGTTAATTTTTGTTACATTATAAGGTGCTAACTATGCAGTAGTACTCAAAGTTCCTATGAACTCGAGAACTTACAAAGAAAAAGCAACTGAATATGATACACAAGATCGGAATTTCCTACCCATAATCACTATAGATTCGATTGAAGCCGTTTACAACTAATGGAGTAATGGACACAAGATCAGACCCTTTTTCTTTACCTTGTTTCTCGTTTATTTGGAATTAGTAATTGATAATTGATAATTTTTCTGACGACTTATCCCCCAATGCGCACTAATATTGTTGAGTTTCTCCTCAAATTCTCAAATCCATGATATTGAGTATTGGGTCTATAGTCCAATAAGGTTGTAATAGTTTGTGTAGGGTTTTAGTATAAATAGGAATCTTTTGTACTAAACCTAGTTAGGGAGAAGAGAGGCAAGATGTAGCCACTCAATTGAGAGAGAGCTCTTGAGTGAGGGAGGTAGAGATAGGATTGAGTGAGTGGAGATCCTCTCATAGTTTCCACTTCTTTGTGTAGTGATGTGCATCTTTCTTCCCCGGAGCACATTTGAGGTGAGTGATGGGAAACAAATTGTGAGAGAGTATAAGGGTAGAATTGAGGGAGAGAGACATAGTGTGTTGAGAGATGCTCCTCTTTGTAAACTCTTCTATTCTTATACTAGTAGAAACTGTGGCCATTCCCGTGGACGTAGATCTATGAGAGATCGAACCACGTAAGTTGTGTTTGTGCTTCTTGTTGTGTTTGCTTGGTAGTTTACTTTAATTTCACTGCGTGTGTTGTTGAATGAGTAAACTTTCAGCAATTTGTGTGTAGAGGAGATTAAAATCTCCAACAAGTGGTATCAAGAGCTGAAGGTTCGGACTGTTTTTTTAGTGGGTAGAGGTATTTATTTTCGGTTCTGCAAGAAGCAAGTGTTTGCTGGCCAATCAGAGTTTATGGTTGAATTCCCCATATCAAGAAACGTTGGGAGCCCAACTTTCGTGAGTATTGGACCACCGGAGAGAGAGGAATCGTTGAAAGAAGAATTCCAGCCGATGTAGTGTTTTTCAACCATCAGAGCAGAATCTCGCCGATCGGACACCAGATCTGGATTCTACATTGTCGATTTGTGATAGCTGTGAAGTTTGAGAAGAATCTGACTGTTGGATGTTGAGATATCATGGTTTGAAGTTGAGGCATTCTGGACCGTCCATTGGAGTGGCGGCTGAGATGAAGAGATTAGGGTTTCGCTGAGATGCCGCCATGTGGCACCGTCTGAATGACTGAGATTGTGCCACGTGGATGCCACATGTCGGTGAGGTGTCTGCCATGTCTTGGTGACTGTGCTGTCATGTTATCGGTCAAAGTCAAAGTTTGACCGCCACGTTATCAAAAACTTTCAGGTGACCTTTTCCCCCTAATTTTGACGTGCTGAGTTTGTTTTTAGCATTGGTTTTGTCAAATTCAATTTGGTTTGTTCTGTTTTGCTGGATTGAAGTGTGTTAGGGGCGTAGAAAAGTTGTTATAGATGTGGAGATGGTTGTGTGTGCTCCAATCTTTGTGGGAGCTGAAACTTTGTGATATGGTGGAGTGTAGTGTTCCAAGATTTACTCGTGAAGGATAATCTTGATGAAGAGATGTGTGGTTTGACGTGTTGAGGATGTGGTGTGACAGAGAAGTGTGCAGACTGTGGTGTTGTGTTTCAAGTTAAACCATTTGGATTTGTGTGAGGTTACTTGTGTCGAAAGTCTACCAGATATGTTAGTCAGGCGGCGTGTCGTGCTAGTCAAAGCAGCGGTACAAGATGATTGAGTCTTTGGTTTAACTTTGAGATGATGTTGGGGGGTGACGCACTAGTTGTGTTTGGTGAGTCATTTGCGAGGATTGTGACTTGTGTAGAAGCTCGGCCGAGTGGGTGCAATATTATGTGAGGAATATTGTTTGAAGAGGTCACATCCAGTGGTTCCCTATCATGATGGACTTGACGAGTTTGGAGGAGATGATAGGAGGAGGAATGTCCAAGTAGAGAACGAATCAGTGCTAGTGTGTACTTGTTGTGGTGCTGAATGATGGAAGCAGAGATAGGTGTGTGTTTTGTTGACATTCCCACACATGAAGAGGTTATCCTATTCCGAGGAGTTGATGATTCAAGATATAGGTTTGTGGTTCACTTGACATTCGTGGTGAAGAGCTCAAGTTGAAGATAGAGATACAAGCCTTATTCTTGAGATGTTGTTTATGCACTTGGAATTTTGTGTCAAGGGAGGATTTGTTGGGTTTCTCCTCAAATTCCCAAGCCCATGGTGAGTGTTGGACCTAGAGTCCAATAAGGTTGTAATAGTTTGAGTAGAGTTTAGTATAAATAGGAACCTTCTGTAATAAACCTAGTTGGGAGAAGAGAGGCAAGATGCAGCCACTCAATTGAGAAAGAGCTCTTGAGTGAGGGGGGTATAGATAGGATTGAGTCAATGGAGATCCTTTCCTAGTTTCTACTTTTTTGTGTAGTGATGTGCATCTTTCTTCCCCGAAGCACATTGGAGGTGAGTGATGGGAAACACTTTGTGAGAGAGTATAAGGATAGAATTGAGGGAGAAAGACATAGTGTGTTGAGAGAGACTCTACCTTTGTAAACTCTTCTATTCTTATATTAGAAAGTGTTGCCATTCTCGTGGATGTAAATCTATGAGAGATCGAACCACGTAAGTTGTGTTTGTGCTTTTTGTTGTGTTTGCTTGGTTGTTTAGTTTAATTCCGTTGCGTGTGTTGTTGAGTGAGTAAATTTCCAGCAATTTGTGTGTAGAGTAGATTAAAATCCCCAACAAATATGTCATGCTGAATGGATCTTAGTTCACGTTTTTTTTTTCCTTTTCTTTTTTGAAGGATTTAAGAAAAATGGCTTGTTGGTTTAATCCTACTTTGAGGCTGCGCAACTGAATGAATAAATAATTATCCAACTCCACATTTTGTTCCAATCAAAGACAGGAAATGCAAGTCCTTGGTGGATCAAAATCACAACGTTTTTGTCCAAATTAAGAGTAGTCCTTGGTGCACATAACATTAGAAGAGGATAGTTATATCCCAAAGTGTTGACTTTTCATGTAATGCGGGAATTAGGGGACTAACCGTGGCGGTAACTCCTGGTCTGAATTAATACAATTAAGACTTAGATTGAATTATAATTTAATTGGAATTACAATACTATTTAATTGAAAATAAAATATTGAAATTATAATTCAATATTAATTACTTTGTTTCGGAGATCTTGAAAATTGTCTATAATTAAGGTTGTAACACCAATTCTTGCGTTTGGATGCATAAAGATTTAGATACTTTAGAACTGAAATTAGTTTATTATTATATAACTAATACAATTTATACTTCATGTGTATTAGACTACTTTGTGGTTGTTCAACTAGTATAATTTTTGCTTTTTTAAAAAAATATATTTTTTTAATTCAATATGCTATATCAATTTTGTAAGTTATTATGTACACAACTTTTTATTAGAAACACAAGAAATATTATTACGTAAGAATTAAATATGTTACGTAGAATTCTCGCTTAACAGACACACAAGTAACATACAAAACATTCTTCTTTTTTTTCTTGAGGAAAACATATAAAACATTCTTGTTTTCCTGTCTTTTACTATTTTTTAAAGTTTAAATTTTTTATATTTTTATTTACATAAAAAATTTAAAAATTTTAGCATGTAACATTGTGAATTTATTTTATGAATATTAATGTCCATTTATATATAGATTGACATCAATACATAATATATGCTTAAATTTTTTTATTTTTAGTATATAATTATAATGAAATAATAAATACTTAAAACTCAAGTTACATAATTTTTGGTGAAAAGATGCCCTGTATAGTTTAAAATTTATATACATATAAATTAACAATAATATAGGTGTATATATGGAACAATTTCTATAACTTTTTGTTTTGAAAACTTTATGTTGTTTACTATGTCATAATATAATAAAACATTTTAATCCAAAACTAGAATATTTATTTATGTTAATTTTTTTGGATACAGTTATACTTTTGATATTTTTTGTAAAAAATATGTAATGTTTATTTTAGGTTGATTCCATTGATGATATAATAGTAGTAATAGTTATTATAAGACAAAGAGCCAAAAAAGAAAAAAAAATTATTAAAAAAAAAAACTCCAAAACAAGCGCTGGAAGCAAAAAAAAAAAAAAAAAAAAAGCAGCGCTATAGCGATGGAAAAAAAAACAATTAAAATATCTTCTTTTAAAAAAAACAAGGTCAAAAGGCAAAAAATTGAGAGGCGACCCATTTGGGATATAACCCGAGAAAGACCCGATTTGGACCCACGTCTTTTCTTTTCAGTTCTTGAATTTGAATTCGAATTATTTACTCTTACAAAAGAATTGAAAATAAAGAATTGAACCCCAAAACGAATTGTAATTCTAATTCTTGTACTACTATTTTTATCAACCAAACACAAAAATTGGAATTAGAGAGCTCCAATTCCAATTCTCGGTCCCAATTCAATGCAACCAAACAGAGCCTAATATGATTGGACAACCACAATGTGATTATGGCTTGATCTTGGTAGCGAGTTTTATTGTTTCTATTGATAATTTTGAAAATATGATTATTTTTTTTCTATTCACCTCCTTCATTAGTAAAAAAAAAAGTTAAATCTTTAAAATTGTAACTTTGAATCATTTTTTCAAATTTTTTTTGCTTCAAAAAAATGAAATTTTCTTTATTTCGCGCCCCCACAAAATAATATTTCTTGGTTCTGTGTGTTTACAAATTAATATTTCTGCTTCCGCCAATGTTGCATGGTTTCACCACCCAAACAAAAACGTTATACTCAAACTCAACGTTTAATATATCCTTCTATGGTCTATATTTCATGTGTAGCATACGAACTGTACCAAAATAATATATGTTCGACTCTGGCCAAACAAAACGGCAGTCAGATCTTAATTGATTGGATAGGAAATGAAATGTTATGGTAATCTGAAACATTGACAGAAACAAGCTGATCCAATTCTTTAGGCAACTCCACATGTATATATTCCGTACACACGTACGTGGGTACCAATTACAGTTTTGGACTTCTTTTTGTTGTTTTTAATTGTTACTTGATGCTTAATATTGTTTATTATGTTATCTTCATTATAGGTTCATGCCGTTGATTAGGCAATGATTTGAGTAATTTGTCTAAATTAACGTTCTGGACATTTTTATAGAAGCTAATCTATCGACAAATACCCCACAACTTAGGTACTGAGAATGATGACTAGATATTAAACCTTCACTGATCAATCCTAAAATTTTAGGAGTATTAGTTTAGAGAATTATTATTGATAAATTGATAAATTTATATTGATAAATTGTTACTGTCTCTGCCCAAAAAAAAGTCTTTATTGAGTTTTCAAATTACTAATAAAATTAATATGAATCACAAAACTCAATATGGACTATTTTTTTTTTTAAGACAGGGAGAGTAACTTATTAATTTAACCAAATTTTTTGAATTCCGAAAAGTTAAATGGTTCTTTCTAAATTATCCACAAAAATGAAATGTACTTCTCATGTGGTTGGATCGAATTAATGATGTGTTTTGATGTAATAGAATTATATCCATGTTAGAACGTGTAATTTTGTTTGATTACTATCATTATCGTTTGAGGAGAAAAAAGAAGGCTTGATGGTTAAAATTGGATTTCAATTTATAAAGCTTACATTTTAACTCCGCCACCGTAGGTATATATAGATTTAAACAAAAACTAGAAAAAAAAAAACATTTATATGTTCATCATGTATTTACTGTATTTCAGTTTGTTAGATAGTTAAGCAGAGAATTACGGGTATACTAATCACTTTTGTTTGTATATATAAAATTTTAATGAAAAATTACGGCTAAGATAGTAATTAAAGGACGTTTTGTTTTGGGGGTTTTTTTTTTTTTTTTTTACCTAAATGCATGAGTTGGGAATTTTCTTTCCCCAAAATTAAGTAAGGTATATCACCCTATTTTTTATTAATAAAATCAAAAGTTTACATTGGATACTATCCAACACTTATCCACCACAGAGGGAGGAAAGGTCTAACAAATTTGTCTATCAAATTTAGACATGGAGATACAAAAAATTATGATTAAGGTATCCAATGTAAAATACGAAGTATGATTAAAGTATGATCATACTCTTAACCACCATATAGCTAAGTATAATCTCATTAAAGTATGATTAAAATACAAAGGAGATACAAAAAATTAGATTTTATTGCGCCTTAGATATGGAAATCTGGAAAAAAAATTTTCTGATTTTCTTGCGCCTTAGGTATAGAAATTTTCGCTGGTCAAGTGCCTCCATTCCCATTACCTCGGAATGATTAAATTTTCCGGTGCTGCATCGCGTTATACCCAATCGATTACACCAGCCCTAGCAACTGAGAAACCTTCATTGTTTTTGTATGCAAAGTTCCGCAAAATAGAGCCAATCTGTTAAAATGAAATGTTGATCGTGATATATATCGGCCAATTGACCAATAACATGATTTGATCCTCGCTCTTAGTTGTTAAGTTGCGATTGGTTAAGGTTCGTATGTGAACAAATTTAAACCATGACTCTTTTTTTTTTTTTTGGTGGGTTAAAGTAACCATTCAGAATAATCATGGAGGGAAAAGTTTAGTATCAATTAAGTATTAAGAACTGACCCAGACGAATGATCGTGAAAAATCATGAACTACCTAGTTGACTTTCTGCACGTCTGACTTCGATCCGAAGATGCGGATCGATCCAGTTTCTTCCATCTTTTTTGTCTCTTTCTGCGACATAAATGATTTGTCCAAATATTTCTTGCGTTTCTTGTTGAATTTGATATTTTTCTTTTCCCCTTTTCTTTTTTGGTTTTTGTATGATTATAAAGTAATATTCTTTTTATCCAAAACATTACTCTCTTCATCTTAAAAATATTGTACAATTTAAATTTTTAATTTTAGTTTAATTTATACTATAAAAGTAAAATTGCATACTGGACTATCATTTCGAAACTAAGAGAATAATCCATAATGTGTTTTAAAATTTGCTAAGAGAGTGAGTACAAATTATCTAACTAAACAATCTTGCATCTATTTTTCCAATCGAGATTGACACTGATTAAAAATCCTCGGAGAACATGGGAAAATAACCCCATCGGCCCTTGAAAGTAAAGATTAGAAGAGGGTGATGTGAAACATTATGATCACGTCGTCGAAGCCAATGACTATAATAGATCCAAAGTGTAGTCTTTGCGAACATGCATTGCCAACTGAAATACCAGCAGAGTACTTTATTATTTTTTTTAGAAAAAAGCTAAAAGAGAATCTCAACTTATCACGTTAGTGTACGTAGAATGATAAAATTCAATGTATTCATCTCCTAGCTCCTACCATCATCCATGATCCACCTCATATAAATCCATCACTCGGAAAACCTAGCCATTCCATCCGAGAGCATTCTCTTTGAATCCAAAAGTGCAAAATGGGTTCCAAATTCCTAGCATTTTTACTTCTGCTCTCTCTTTTCTCCTTCACTCTTGCCAATGCACATCCAAAGCCAAAGCCAGAGCATAAGCCAAAGCCTCATCCGGAATGCCCTCCACCACCACCTCCCAAAGCCACCCCTCCACCGCCACCTAAAGCCACCCCTCCACCGCCACCTAAAGCCACCCCTCCACCACCACCTCCCAAAGCCTCCCCTCCTCCGCCACCTCCGAAATATCCTCCACCACCACCTCCCAAAGCCACCCCTCCTCCTCCACCTCCTAAAGCCACCCCACCACCACCACCTCCGAAAGCCACACCTCCACCGCCACCTCCCAAGCACACTCCTCCTCCACCACCTAAATATCCACCACCGCCACCACCGCTAGCAAAATGTTCAAAGGATTACCATAAGTTCAGTGTGTGCTCTGGCATTTTTAAAAATGGAAAAGGGACCGGAAGCGATAATAAATGCTGCTCTCTCTTAAACGACCCAGAAGCTGCCAATTGCCTTTGCAAGGCCGTACAGGACTTGAAAGTGTTCCACACACCAAACATAACTCCACAAGCTTCCTGTGAGAAGATCTTCAAATTTTGTAAAAAGAGCCCTCCAAGTGGTTTTAAATGTCTCTAAAAACCATGAAAGTTTTCGTTGCTTTAAAAAAAGTGGGTTTTGTTTTTCATGTCCCTTTGAGTGTGTTTTCCTTTTTCCCTTTTGTCGAATGTATGTCGACATGGTGCAGAATTCCAGCTTCATTGTTGAGATCCGTATTATGATTTAGAGTGAGAGCTTTAAGAGATAGATTATGAGCTTATACAAAAAGCGGACGTTGGAAGCTTGATTATGTACTTTTATGTTGCAGTGGTTGTTTGTATTTTGGGGATCAAGTTTGTACCAGTTTTTTAATAAATGATTCTAATGATCGTTTCTCTTCTTCTCAAATTTGGTTATATTTACTCATGTTAGATTATGAGCTTTCTTTGGTTTTTTACGTTATGGGAAATACAGCTAAACACTTCAATCATAATTTAATTAGTTACCACCTCCATATCTTTTTACCTAAGGTGTCTGAGTAGATCCATGTCCTTTTCTTGATTTCTCGATCATCCTTCATTTCCAATACAATAGTAATTACATTTTTTTCACTTATAATAAAATATACTTCCAGTCCCAAAATGATCTATTATCCAAGTTTTGGATTTTCACCTTTAGTATAAATTGTGTTAAAATAAAAATTTAAACTGGATAATTATTTTAGGATAGAACGAATATTAATGACAATCAGTTACTCTTATAGTTACTTTTTCTTTTTCTTTTTTTAAATACCTCTAATGCATTTATTTTTTTAAATGTGGAGAATAAGAGTAATACATTTTGGAACTTAGTTTCTATTCATTATTTCTTTAATTCATGTTCAAATTCTAATGCGACAAGTAAAACAAAAATAAAAAATAAAAATCTGAAGGTGATATGACTAAGAATCTTAACTCAAAAGGTATACATACAACAGTTCGGTAATGAAGAGCATTTCATTTAATTAATTGTCTTATTTAGGCCAGTTTGAGTTTTGTATATATGCGTAAAAAGAAAATAGGACTGGAACTAAAAGCAGTGCGATTGTTGTTGAGTTTGGAGTACTCTTCTTACATTCTTTTCCTCTCTCAATTTTTCCAGTTCCAGGGTTACATTCAGCAATTCGATCGATTTGTGTTGTTGTCGTTCGGAATTAAGAATTGACTCTTTCTGAGGACTAACTTACATGCTATTTTCCGATTGGATCTAGATCAAGGGGCAAAATTTTGTTTTGGTGGCAAGTCGATAGGTTTGATACTACTCTGGGGCAGAATTATTTAGTAAATAAAGAAATTGTATCCAAAATGAGACAATGAGTTTCCATTGAGGTTATACGTAGTACTCTAGAAAATATTTATTAGAACATAAATGTATATCAGTATATGTAATGTTTTTCTGCCCACAAGACTCGTTTTCCACATTCTACACAACCACAAATTAAAGCCTTGGGATAGAAAGAACTACTTTCTCAAATTTGATCTTCTTTCAATCTGTTTTGTGCCTATAGTTCGTTACTAATGTAGCGATACATATAAGAACAACTTACAAAAAAATAGTAAGAAATAATGCGGATAAAGTCTATATAAATTATTTACCTATATAATAACAATTTTGAATGCCCAAAGTCCAAAATGAAATGTAGCAAATGAAAGAACGCATTTTAAATCATATCTTCTATTACATTTTTTAAATTTTTTTGTAATTTTTCCATATAATTTCTGTGACAATGATAATGCTAAAGCTTTCCTATCAAATTCATTCCTCTTGGGAAATGTAGGTCATCTTGCAAGGAAATTCCATTGTTACTTATAAGTATATACAATTTTGAGTAAATGGTCTAAATAGTCCCTTAACTTTATTCCTAATCCGGGCTGGTCCATCATTTTCAAAATATTTTACATGTTTAACTGATAAAAAGATCCACCTTCTCGTCCAAAAAAAGGATTGAAACTTAGAAGATATGAATTTTGTCCGAACCTACAGATTTCGCCCAAACAATTAGTTCCCTATTTCTGTTCCAACGTTTTTCACCAAAATTATCCTAAAATATATATTTGAAATGACGTCTGATTGGATTAATCCCGGACGAAAGTTTATGATTAATTTGAAACATTTGGAAGATGGTGATGGACAAAATGTTTATATATACTCTTTCCGTTGCAAAAAAATTATTCCATTTGCATTTAGTATATGTCCTGAAATGGTTATTTAGTTTAGATTTTCCTTTTTAATAATACAAATTCCAGTAAAAATAAAAATGAAAACTAAATAATTATTTTAGAAGGATAAAAATAGAGTTAAAAGGAACCATTTAGGTAGTTTTCTCTACAACTCTTCATAATTAATGTGTCAACCCAACAGTTTATACGGATCATAGGCATATGGCCGCATGATCTTTAGTTTATGTTACAAAGGAGCTGGCTATTACACTGATCCAAATGAAAAACCCTACATTCCCGTTTTCCTCGATCAAAACTCAAAATCACCACTCAAAATCTTATCCCGATCTTAATCTTCTAATTTTGTTGGAAGATTTTTCAATTTCAAACCATAAAATCTTTAAATTCCAATCAAATTTGTTATGTCTTTTGGTTACTTTAACAAAGTAAATCTTATCTTACGAAAATATATCAAATCTAAGCTAATCAAATCCAAGTATAATAAAATCTGCAAGTTTGAAATTTTTAATTTAACCATAGTAGTTTTTAAAAATTGGGCCGGTTGTGGTGGATTATTTTCAAAAGATACGATCTTATTTAAGAATTTGTATATAGTCAAACTTCACCCCAAATTATCCACCCTAACCATGATTCCCATCTGGCTTCTAAATTAGTATCAAAAGTCTATGCAAACGCTCTTGAAGAAGAATAGAAGGAAGGTATCCATGATGGTCTAATTCCTATTATTATTCTTTTCTTACTACTTTACTTGTATATGAATTTTATTTGCGGTCGTCAATATTGTTTTCCTTAAAGACTTCTTTTTCATGTCTTCTAATGGTTTTGGGTAGGTTGCTCGTGTAAACACTATGATTGTGGTTAGTCAATAGACTTCTCTTCCATTTGAATCTCCATAAAAAAAATTGATTCTGATTGTTTCTCACAAGTTTACATAGTAAACTATTTTTTCCCCCTTCAATTGTAATATCCATGGCTTAATCTTCTCGATGGCAACGCATTAAGGTATGTTGTCCCTTTTTTCCCTTTTGGTCTGAGCCTCCCTTAATTTTAACTTCTGATCGAAACAAAAATAGTGGTTCACGTGTTTATCTCCTTCTGAATAATTGAGACCGTACTTGTTTGATGATAATTTTTTCTTCTCTTTTTTTAAATTGATTTCTTGCCTCTATTTATTTTATGAATTGTTGTTGTGAAGATCCAAACTGACAAAAAAATGTAGTAAATCACATGTTGTCGAGAAGTGAGGTATGTGATTGCTTGGACACCAAAGAAACCTCAAAGTCGAAAGATAAATTTATGTCCAAGTAGATCTTGCTTGCTCATTTTTTGCTATGTAAAGTTATGTAACAAATTAATTATTATCCTATTGTATCTTAATAAAATGAAGTACATTAACAAATTATTTTCCTGGCTTGACAAGCTATAGAGGACAATATAATATATTATTCTCATCAAAATATATTATTTTTAATGTGGTTATCTTTTTTTCATTTTAGTTGTACCCCTATCGATTTCTTTTTTTTTTTTTTTCAGACGGTTAAGGTAGGCATGAGCACGGTTCAGAATCACCGGTTCATGGTTCAAGAAATATATGAATCTTAACCAGTCCCTAAGTCTACAGTTACGGTTACAGTTTTGATTTATAAACTTTCGGTTCCAATCCGATTTCGGACGGTTTCGGATTCAATTTATTGACGGTTTTACCTCATTTTTTTGAGAATTTCAATCCGATATTTTACGGGTTTAATTAGATTTTTGTACAATTGTAATTCAATTTAATACTATTTAATTTTTATGTTAAAATAAAACTAAAGAAATGATTTAATGAAAAAAAAAGTGCATAAGAAAAATAAAAATTAGAAATAATTTTAGTAGCATGGGTAACCAAATTTTTAATGATTAAATGTAGAATGACATATTCGGGTTTCCCATGATTTTAATAATTAAAAATAAGTATTGTCTTTTTTTTAAAAAAAATAAAGTCTATTTTAAATGGCACAAGAACTAAGGGTTGATTATTAATAAATGAAACAAAATCTCTTTTACCTAAAATTAATTAGGTCAACCACTTAATTTAAGTAATGGTGTATTAAGATTCTATAAATACTATTTAAAACACAATGATAATTTGAGAAAATTTTATGAAATTATGCATTGAAAACCAAAATGAATTCATAATTTGGTGTAACCACAAATAGAAAGTGAGTTTTATTTTGAAAAGAAAGTAGTATATAAGATATTGTTTAAAATTTAGTAAAATCCCAATAGACAATTACTTAATGGATTATCATTGTAATTTTCTATAACATTTACTAATAGTTCAAAAATAACAAAAACATAGGTATAAAAAAATTAAAAATTACATAATAAACTAACTTCTGATTAGAAATTTTCAATAATTTTTATAAAAATGAAGGTTAACAGACAGGTTATGATGGTCTGAACCGTCGGTTCAAAACCTCCGGTGTGAAGTGTCGGTTTACGATTTTCAAATATTAAAACCGTAACCGGCCCTTGACTAGATGAATGATTTTATAAACTGCCTTCTATGGTTTCGGTCCAGTTCATGAACCGTCGGACAGTGGTCATGCCTAGGTTGTGGCCATACTTCCCTCATATTAAAACAAGTACAACACACTAGACTGTATCTTGGAATGAATAAAGTAATAAATATTCTCTCTTATGAGTGAATTAAGAATATCCATAAGAAAAAAAGTATAGCAAATGCAAAGAAAGGAATCACACATTATATTTTTCTGTCCTGCATATCGTGCGGGTATAGCATCTAGTATATTAATATAGAGGAGAGATTAGGGTTAAACTACGCGACCTGGTTAACCGATTTTCAAGATTTAGAAAAAGTAGCTCAATTAGATATAGTAAATGTTAGTGTGTAATTTTTTAGTTTAACTTTTTTATTTGAATAAGATTTATGTTAAACGTAATATGGCTGGGATTGGATTTTATTTAAAAAAACTAAGATTTGACGTTTGTTTCGTTATTATCTTTAGTTATTTTTAAAATAAAATACAAGATATAATGTCAGCTTTTATGGGATATAATATGTTGTGTGAGAGTCCAATATTCTTTAAGCTTCTATTCAAAAGATATTTTTTGAACGGAAGGCCTATAAAGGGAGTCCTAGCCAGACTGTAACAAGCCATATCTACAGTGATGAAGATCATTC